TAGAGAACACAGTCCTTGGAGAAAAAGAGAGGAAATGGAAACATACAGTCCCTATGTGTGCAATAAATTCAGCCTACATTAAATAAATCATCAGTCATCAGTAAACTTAAATAAATAACCTGAATTTATTCTTGCTAGACCTGGGAAGTTTTCTGCTTCTAGAGAACAGTCTCAGGAGCACATCTTCTATTTACCTCTGACTGGCTTAGCTTAGAGCACTTAATTCCTCTTCCTCTTTTCATGCTGAGTGCCATGTTCTCTTCTAAACATGGGGCTGTTTGGGCAGAAGGAAATGGTTCTGCTGTTTTACCCCTGGAGGGCTCATCACTTGGTGTGCTCTGCAAAAAGCCCAGTACCCTGTAGGACTGAGTTTTTAACCCTTGGGGGAGGGCTCTTTAAACAAACAAACAAAAAATCCTTTATGTATTTGTCACATCTCAAGGACCTCAAGTAAACTCTTGGTGGAAAGAGAAGCCTAGAAAGCAAATATAATAATAATCATCAAATTTGTCTGTAGACCTAATGCTTGTGCCCAAGCTAGACTTGAAATATAAAAAGTTAGCAGTTAAGCATAGTAGGAAGTAAAGGCAAGGCAGAGGGAACACAATAAAGCTGAATTGCTGGTCTGTATTTATCATCCTACAGGTTAGGTTACACCTGTACTGTTTGCATTAGTGGCTCCAGCAGTTAAGGCAGCTCTAAGGGTCTAATAATTGAGATAGCTAGATACAAAGGACAGCATCAAGAAATTCGTAATATACTGTATTGCCTGACCTTTCCCCACCTTTCAGCTGCCATCACTTAATTTTTGTAATACATTTGGCAAGTTGAGCTCTGACAGCAATGGCTACTTGGCAGCAAGGTGGGAATTTCAGGGACAGAGCATGGGATGGGGACATAAGAGAACTTGGGCAAGTCATTTAAGCCCAGAGCCTCAAAGGTATATGTAGATGCCTAATCTTATTGCCATCAGTGGGAGTTAGACACGTAAATAACTTTGAGAATCTACAGGGGGTAGCCAAGTTAGCTTGTTACAGAAAAAACAGCAAATGGTCTGGTAGCACTACCAGACCATGGTTTTTTTTTTTTTTTTTTTTTTTAGAATGTGGGCTGTGCCCCTCTGTGCCTCAATTTCCCCATCTGTAAAATGGAGATGATACCGAATGCCTCTGTAAAGTGCTGTGGATGACAAGAGCTAGATGTTGTTATTATAGGGAGTCAGCATTTGAGCTCCAGCCACACAGGGTGCACCGAGGTAATTGCCCTGCTATAAGAGAGGAGGAGTCCTGAACCTCAGGGGCCAGATCAAGGCAAGCTACCAGCCACATCTGGCCTGTAGACCACATAGGTTCCTCACGCTTGCTTTAAAGTAATTATGCTGTTGGCTTCTGGGTAACCTCTAAAGTATCACAGAAGCTGTTTTATGCTGGCTTGGTAAATTTTAATATTGAAATAGCCACCAACTTTGGGGAGTGGCTCCCCCATTCTTTGCAGTTTGGCCCTAATTAAGTAACCTCAGCTGGTTCTCCTGGTCACAGTTGCCAGAGACCAATGTGGAAATGCTGTATAAGGTCCTGTTCCAGTCTCTTGAGGAATTAATACAGGTTGAACCTCTCTGGTCTAGCAACATTGTGGTCTGGCATGTTTTCACTTAGCTGTGGCTAAAGTTCCCACTGCTTCATAAATTTTGTTTACAGCCATTAGTCCTGGTTCTCAGTGTTCTATGCTGTTATTTAGCTCTAATTTACCCCTTAATTGTCTTCTAACAGCTCAATAAGCAGTGAAAGTGTTGGTAATGCTGCTAGAAAATATTGACTTCATGTGGTTTGGCAAATTCTCTGGTTCAGCACGGTTCTGAAGATGTCAGACTAAAGAGGTTCAACCTGTACAATTAATGGCTATAGCCCACCTTTTGAGATGGTACTGTGCCTTCACACCTGTTCACACATTACTGTACATAGCACTTGCTGTATTAAATGCTAGTTGTTGGGAATGTTAAAGTCTATGTAAAATAATGACAGTTTGGCATAGATGTTAAACAGAACTATGATAAAACATCTATTTTTATGGAACCTACTACAGTAATAATGCAAGTTTCTTGTAATAAAAATATAATAAATTGCAATAACAATGCAATGCAAGCATGGAAAATGCTGAGTGTGGAACTAGGAAACAAATCACACTTCAACAATCCAAATGTTATCAATCATGATTTTGGAAAATGGAGAATTTGTGATGGCTTGTTTTTATAACTTTCACAGAGATGATGACAGAACACATTAAAAATGGATGGTGATTTTATTTTAGTGGAGCACCTGTTCTATAGCTTGGAGCAACAGTTCCAGGGTGAATAGGTTATTGTTTTCTGAATGGAGAGTGGTGGCAGAGTCTTTATGAATTTTCATTTGTGAAACAATCAAGGAGAAATAGTACAAGAACTGGCTGTCTCCAAGTTATAATTTTTTTTATTAAACGTTGTTATATTCCATTTTGACCATTGCGGTTATGTAAAACAAGGGTTTTATCTCTGAATAGGAAGCTTCTTATGTGAAAGTGGTGATCACTATCCTATTAAAATTGAGTAGAGAGGAAACTAGTCTTTTAGGTGTAAGTTTCCAGGAGATTACACACTGCACCACAGAAACAAAAAATGCCTGCTACAAAAATTACTGCTGCACCAGAGAAATAAAGTGCATGTTTTAAAATTGGCACTAAGGATTCATTTCAATAGGATTCTCAAGATTTGAAGCTTTTTTGTATTTTAAAGAGGTTTGTTTGATCAACTTTGTGGTTTCCTTAGAAATAAATGATGCTCCAGTTTCAGTTGCAGTCTCTGGGTCATACTGCACTACACTTTCCAGGTCATACTGCACTACACTTTCCTTCTCTTTTATTCTGTCCTATCCTTGTATGCTGTTTCTTCTGGACTTTTCAGTATATACAAGCCTTGAATGTATTTTAGTGAGTGCTCATTCTGCTAACCATGCATCCAACCAGAGAATAACAAAAAGACAATAAGGCTGTGTCTAGACTGGCAAGTTTTTCCGGAAAATCAGCCGCTTTTCCGGAAAAACTTGACAGCTGTCTACACTGGCCGCTTGAATTTCTGCAAAAGCACTGACGATCTCATGTGTTCTTGCGGAAATACTATGCTGATCCCGTTACGGCAAAAGTCCTTTTGCGCAAAACTTTTGCGTAAAAGGGCCAGCGTAGACAGCTCAGAATTGTTTTTCGCAAAAAAGCCCCGATCGCGAAAATGGCGAGCGGGGCTTTTTTGCGGAAAAGCGCATCTAGACTGGCACGAACACTTTTCCGCAAAAAGTGCTTTTGTGGAAAAGTGTCCATGCCAATCTAGACGCTCTTTTCCAAAAATGCTTTTAACGGAAAAGTTTTCCGTTAAAATCATTTCCGGAAAATCATGCCAGTTTAGACGTAGCCTAAAAGTGTGGGGTGTCCCTCGTGCTTCTCAGCCCCCCCCCCCTTCTCAGCTGCCTGTTCCCTCCTGTGATGACCCTGGAGATCAACTCCTCTCAGAACCGCCCCTCCCCCTCCTGTGGTGCTACCCCCCCATCAA